GACAAACACATACAAAATTTCCAACAATATATGACAATACACAGATAATTCATCAGTCGCTGGCTCCTGAACTGTATGATCCTTTTGGGGTAGGGGGAAGGGTTAGTGTTCAGGGTTAGTATAGTTTTAGAATTTTAGGGTTTCAGGAATCATCATCACTACACAAAATATTTCCAGCACACTATAAGGGGTCTATTGATATCAAAATTCAAGGAGCCTTTTGCCCTGTGAATCTTTCCGAAGGTTCCTTCCATGCTAATAGATGCAAAAAGGAATGTTCTTAGACCGGGCTGTCCTATAATGAGGCAGCCTGAAGCTAACTCTTTGGGTCATGTGGAGAGTGGCATACACATCTCCCTGCCCAGCAGTCTTAGCAACCTGGGACGCTCTGGCCGGTGTCCCATTCAGCCAGGGGCGGACTGGGCCGGGGGGCAGGGTGGCAATTGCCCCCCGGGCCTCTCCGATGCCGTAGCGAGCTGCCAGACCTGCCCGCCCGCATCCACGCTCCACACACCGCACCTCCTCCCTGCCTCACATCACCCGACCATTCACACTACCGTTACATGGATGGCAAAAGTGGCAGACGGGCAAGGAGAAGGCGGGGGGAAGAGGCAGAGCGGGAGGGAGGCCAAGTTGCTGCACCATGGGCCTCTAGGTTGTACTTGCCCCCTGGGCTAAAAGTTGCCAGTCAGCCCCTGCATTCAGCTCCTGGCAACCAGTGACGTCAGTGGGTGGGCCAGCAGCAAAAGCTGGACGAGAGATGATGCAGAGGCCCCCGCCCAACCACAACCTACCACCCGCCCCCCTGTAGCGTGCACACCACCTTGGCCGCCTCAGGTGATGAAAATGCTAGGGATGTCCCTGTTCTCAGATATATTTTCTTTTCTGGTCAAATGGAAGTATTTAAATACTGCAGTTTGGCCACTAGATGGAGCTAAGGAGGATAATACATATTTATTCCCTATGCTCCATCTAGTGGACATAATGTAGTATTACATTATATACATTCAACTTGAAATATATATCTAAGCATTCCTTTTTGCATCTACTTGCACATTCAGAAAGATTTGTAGGGCGAATGGCTATGTGAATTGACTATAGATAGACCCCCAATTATCAGGCCATGACACTATAACGGCAGCGAAAATCCATCCACCGATGGAATGTCACATCTGCAGCAAAACTGCGCCAATCTCTGGAAGACGGAGAATTTCTATCCCATCATACGTACATACCTCTCGGTCGACCTGTTGCAGACATGCTCCCAGCGCTCTCTCAGCTCCCCGAGCGATTCGTCCATCTTCTGCCCATCCTCCGGCAATCGGATCTTCTCTCGGAGAGCGCGGCCGCTCCGCAGGGTCGCCTCATACACGGGACGCTTGGAGCGGAAGACTTTCTGAAAGTCCTGTGGGGGGGATACCATGTGACACAATCAGGTAAAGTAAAATGATATAATTCGGGGCTCTGTGAGTTCTGAAGGTCGCCCTACCTTGTGCTGGCCCAGCTGCTGCTTGATGTGCTCCTGGCTGACGCTGGTGTCGATCTTCTGGGAGTCCAAACTCTGGTCCGCTTCCTGGAGCCAGTCCAGAAGCATCCGCCGGGACTCGGTGTACTGCGGGGGCAAAACACTCCGTTCAGAACTATACAGTGCAGTGCGATGCAGCCTCTGAGGGTGCCACCATTCAGTACAATTCAACCCAAATCAATTCTTCAGCACCCCAAAAGTGCAAATTGACTAAAACCATAATCAGCCCTGCTAATGATGGACGGGGGCGGGGCTTAATAACAGCTGAAATGACTAAGTAAGCTGCTCAGCATCCTCTTCACTTCCCAAAACAGACATCAGGGGGCGCTGTACTCAGAGACAATGAATGAGAACCCCGGAGGCTGGCTCAGGACAAGAAGATCGCATTCAGGACAATATAGCCAATCAGGATTGCTTAATCTTATCCAGTAGGAGGCACATCAATGTACAATGAGACACAATGGCTGCCTATTGGTACACAAGTAACGGGAACGGACTTTCCCCTCCTTGGTACATGGAGAGCCACAGAGAACCTTGTTAAACATTCTATATATTCCATGTATTGCACCCAAGCTGGGTACCGGACATGACACAAACAGAGGTTATAATCAGGCCCTAGATGTGGCACCTACAGGGGTTATTACAATCAGCTAACAGACACGACACCGAGGATATTATAATTGGGTACCAGACGTGGCACAAATACTATTGAGTGTGGCACAGCTTATTAAAAGGTGGCACAGCTCTTTGAATGGTGTCACAGCTCATTGAATGGTGTCACAGCTCATTGAATGGTGGCACAGCTCATTGAATGGTGGCACAGCTCATTGAATGTTGGCACAACTCATTGAATAGGGTCACAGCTCATTGAATGGTGTCACAGCTCATTGAATGGACACAACTAATTGAATTGTGGCACAGCTCAGTTAATGGTGGCACAGCTCATTGAATGGTGGCACAGCTCATTGAATGGTGTCACAGCTCATTGAATGGTGGCACAGCTCATTGAATGGTGGCACAGCTCATTGAATGGTGGCACAGCTCATTGAATGGTGGCACAGCTCATTGAATGGTGGCACAGCTCATTGAATTGTGGCACGGCTCATTGAATGGTGGCACAGCTCATTGAATGGTGGCACAGCTCTTTGAATAGTGGCACATGTTGAAAGAAACTGATCTATTTCTGTGGCACATTATCGTGGGACTTGGAGTAAAGCTTCTGATGGAAGCTGAAGGAGGACTCACTTGCTTGGCTTGTCTCCGGGACTCCTCCAGACTGCGGCCCCTCTCGGCCGCCCTCTCCTGCACCTTCCCCAGCCGCTCCCGGGCGCCCTGCACCAGGGACTGGGTCATGTCCCCTTCCTGTTTCCGACTCACATCCTTGAGACGGGAGCAGACTGACTCCAGGCTGGACAGCTTGTCCTCGTTCAGCTGGATCTCCTGCACCAGACCCTGAGGAAGAAACATTGCACATTCCACTAAGTGGCAGCAACACAACTAGCACCAGGCTGCCCACAACAAGGGATTATGTGCCAAAATGGGCACGTTCCCCGGAGATCCTTTGGCTGCAGTACTTTCCAAGTCACTGACCCATAACATGTAGCTCAGTAGTCCTTACATCACTTACTGAATACTTGTGCTGAGTCAAAGGCTGAGGTATGTATTGAAGCTAAAGGATACGCATGACAGCCAGGCAGTTGGCATTTTAAAAGGTCAGCATATACATATTTCATGGTAGACGTCTATAAATAACCCTTACAAATCTATGTTTCTGTGTGCAGTGAGTCATTCTATAAGTACCACCGTATATACTCATTACATATTCAGGTTCTACTTCCTACTCAATGCTATCATAGTGACTGTGCTTCACTGTTCTATTGCCCTCCCAAAGCAGGTCTATGGCCTTCCACACACCTTGTGTTCTTGAATCTGATTGGTGACGGTCTCTAAGATGATGCTGGGTGGTCCGGCCGTGTTGAGTCGCCCCTCTGCTTGGCCGATCCACTGAGACACTTCCTGCATGGTGCTGTGGAACTCTGTTATCATCGCCAACCCATCCGACAAGCACGCCTGTCACACACAGCATGGGGTCAGGGGTGAGGGACAGAGAGCACATAACCCCCATAATGGAGCCGCCACAACTCCCCTGCACTCACCTTTCTGTCCTGCACCTTGGTGTATGCGCTCTCCCACTTTTGCTCCAGGATCCGTAGCTGGTGCTCAACGCTGGAGCCTCGCGGGTGAGGGCTGGAGGCCAGGAGGCGCTGGAGACGGTCCCGCACGCTGTTGTATGTGTGCTGCTTAGACTCCATCTCTTTACACAGATCCTGTGTGATCAGAGGTGTAACATATCCAGTGTTAATGTGAAGCAAGAAGAGAGAGAGGTGGGCAGGGTGCAGGAGGTGGAGGAGAGGAAACAGAGTGCAGGAGGCAGAGGAAATATAGCAGAGTGCAGGAGGCAGAAGAAAATACAGCAGAGTGCAAGAGGCAGAGGGAATACAGCAGAGTGCAGGAGGCAGAGGGAATACAGCAGAGTGCAGGAGGCAGAGGGAATACAGCAGAGTGCAGGAGGCAGAGGGAATACAGCAGAGTGCAGGAGGCAGAGGGAATACAGCAGAGTGCAGGAGGCAGAGGGAATACAGCAGAGTGCAGGAGGCAGAGGAAATATAGCAGAGTGCAGGAGGCAGAAGAAAATACAGCAGAGTGCAAGAGGCAGAGGGAATACAGCAGAGTGCAGGAGGCAGAGGGAATACAGCAGAGTGCAGGAGGCAGAAGAAAATACAGCAGAGTGCAGAAGGAAGAGGGAATAGAGCAGAGTGCAGGAGGCAAAGGAAATATAGCAGAGTGCAGGAGGCAGAGGAAATACAGCAGGGTCCCGGAGCCAGAGGGAATACAGCAGAGTGCAGGAGGCAGAGGGAATACAGCAGGGTCCCGGAGCCAGAGGGAATACAGCAGGGTCCCTGAGCCAGAGGGAATACAGCAGAGTGCAGGAGGCAGAAGAAAATACAGCAGAGTGCAGGAGGCCGAGGGAATACAGCAGAGTGCAAGAGGAAGAGGGAATACAGCAGAGTGCAGGAGGCAGAGGGAATACAGCAGAGTGCAGGAGGCAGAGGGAATACAGCAGAGTGCAGGAGACAGAAGAAAATACAGCAGAGTGCAGGAGGCAGAAGAAAATGCAGCAGAGTGCAGGAGGTAGAGGGAATACAACAGGGTGCAGGAGGTAGAGGAAATACAGCAGAGTGCAGGAGGCAGAAGAAAATACAGCAGAGTGCAGGAGGCAGAGGCAATACAACAGGATGCAGGAGGTAGAGGAAATACAGCAGAGTGCAGGAGGCAGAAGAAAATACAGCAGAGTGCAGGAGGCAGAGGCAATACAACAGGATGCAGGAGGAAGAGGAAATATAGCAGAGTGCAGGAGGAAGAGGGAATACAGCTGAGTGCAGGAGGCAGAGGAAATACAGCCGAGGGCAAGAGACAGATAAAATACAGTAGAGTGCAGAAGGCAAAGGTAATACAAAAGGGTGCAGGAGGAAGAGGGAATACAGCAGAATGTGGAAAGCTAAAAAAAATGCAGCACACAGATACAACACAGATCCTGTGCAATCAGAGGTGTAACATAACCAGTGCTAATGTAAAGGAAGAAGAGAAAGATGGGCAGGGTGCAAGAGGCAGACAGGTGATGGAATATGGCAGGAAGCAGAGGAGAGGAAACAGAGTGCAGGAGGCAGAGGAAATATAGCAGAGTGCAGGAGGCAGAGGTGGGCAGGGTGCAGGAGGTGGATGAGAGGAGACAGAGTGCAGGAGCCAGATGAAATATAGCAGGGTTCATCGGGCAGAGGGAATACAGCAGAGGAGGCAGAGACTTAGAGCAAAATGTCAATGGAAGGGGTGGGGCAGGGAGGTAAAGCTCTGATAAACTAACATTGGGCAATATTTCTATATAAATCCTGTATAATAATATTTCAGAAATGAAGGAGGAAGAATGTAGAATGCAGGATCAAGCAATACTGGAGGTAGAAGAGAGCAGAGTGACAGAGGAAGGAGAATAATGGAACAGGAAAAAGGGATAAGGACCTCACAGAGTGCAGGATGAGCATAACCCATTGCATGGTGCAGGAGGGAAGTGTAATATGACAGGAGCAGAAGAGAGCGGGTATAACATTGCAGAGGAATTGGAGACTGAGAGAAGAAAGGAAAGATTTTGGATTGAAGTCTATGATGCATAAAGTGTAGTATGATGCAGGAGAAGGGGGCAGAGCAAACACACATTTAAGTTGAGTTGTTAAAACTCCAGCCAGCCAGCGCACCCAGTGACAAAGCACTGCCATATACTTATTGTACTTTTATAGCCGAGGTCCCTCACCAGGTGTTTGGTCAGAGCTTCTCTGGTGGATTCCGGATGACCCCACACAGGTTTGCAGAAGGACAGACGGGCCTCCACCTCTTCCAGCCACTGCAGAAGATCGGTGACCTCCAGGGCGACATCCTGCACCTATGAGAAGGGAGACAATAGATGGGCTGAGTCTTCACCAGAGCCTCTAAATATCAAGATGAGTTGATACAAATAATATAATGTGAAGGAAAATCCATTGCACATATTTAACAAACAGAATGTATGGAAAGGCCCAACCACTGCCCAGAGTTGATGAATGCTCATGCACGGCTCTTCACCTTCAGTAACTACTTGCAGGGCAGCCATCAGGGGGGTACGGCCGATACTCATGTAAGGGGCCCGGGCAGCCTGGGGGGCCCACCCGGGTCCCTTACATGACTATCGGCCGACGGAAAAGGGCGAGGAGGCGGAGGCCTGGCCCTAGCACCGCAGGGCCCCAACATTGCCGCTCCAGCGGCTTTGAGACAAGCTAGGGCCCCATCAGCGACGCTGCTCATCTGATGTCAGACTGCCGGAAGTGACATCACGTTTGTGACGTGACATTACTTCTGGCCGGTCCGGCGCCAGACGAGGCCATGTGTGCAGGTAAGAGGAGCTAGGAAGGAAGGAAGGAAAGGAGGGATGCAGCCCTGACCAGCCCACCTGAGATCCCTTCAGAGCCCACCATAGAAAGTCTCAGATGGGCTGTGCAGCATCTATGGTGGGCTCTGCAGGGTCACTCTCAGGTGGGTCCTCCGTCCAGCGCGTCACTAAGCCCTGCGTCCAGCGCGTCACTAAGCCCTGCGTCCAGCGGCGCGGTGGGGGGCCCGGCCTAAAGCTGTGTAAGGGGCCCCAAAATTTCTGATGGCTGCCCTGACTACTTGCTATATATATAGTTCATCAATACTCAATGCTCCCGTCTTTTATATCACCGGATTACCAAACCTGAACTAAGTGATCTTTCTCCAGCAGGAGGCTGAGAAGAAGGATGATCAGATGGGCCAAATATCAAAATCCGACATCAGATTGAGTTGTCTGGGGATCAGACTGAGTGAGGTCACAGACAGGACACAGCAGAAAACAGATGGACGCATACAGTACCAGGAGGGCCAGATGAGAATGGGATCAATAGCTAAACCAGGGAGCATCAGAAACAAAAAAATAAGCAGAACCAATATCGGAACACACAATGGTGGGCACTCTTGGAGGTACGGGTGATAGCGGATGAGCTTCCAGGAGGACTCTCCAATCCATGGTAAATTGCTCACAGTACAACCACCATGATGATAACCTTGGGGTGAACCATAACATGTTAAAGATGAGTCTGAGCACAGCATCCATAGGAGAAGGAACCAGCCATGGACAGGTGTGCAATGCACTGGTATCCGATTGGTCAACTCTATCACTTGCCCTTTGTAGACCCTCTTGGAGTATCTGCCATGAACTGTTCTATCTGGGCCAATGTTGGCTCACCATAGGACTGAACAGGGCTTTCTATTTTCCATCCCCCATCCATAGGAGAAGGAAGCAGCAATGGACCTGTGTGCACTGTACTGATGTCTGATTGGTCAACTCTATCATTAGGACTGTGTAGAAGACCCTCATGGAGTACCTGCAATGATGTGTTCCAGCCGGGCCAAAGTTGGCTCATCATAGTGTGAACAGGGCTTTTTTCCATCCACCCCAAATGTACAGTATACTGTATATATATTAAATGACTACACCCTGGTTATATATATAAATGGCAACATACATTCTGCAATTACAGAAAAATACCTCTTGATAGGAAGCCAGTGTCACTTCCTGTGAGCTAATCTAAAATCTAAAACAATGTTAGCCTTCCTAGCTATCTTCTGTGAACTACAGAACACCCCCCCCCCAGTCATGGAGATCAGAAGAGGAGGGAGGGTTGCATAGTCCTTTTCTAGGGTGACAACACTGTTCCTCCATAGGTATAGTACAGACAGTGAGCGTTGTCACCCTAGGGCAGGAAGTGTGTTACTGGCAGGATCACTAGGTGGAAAAAAGGAAAAGAAAACGAATGCAGCCATCACAGCTACGGACTGGTGAGCTGCAATATATGACATTTCTGGGTTTGCGTAGGCTTGACCCATTCAGTGTCGCCTATACTATTCGTGATTCAGGCAGACGGGCGAGCGTTTTAAACTCATCCTTGAAAAGACTGAAATCAGGAGGTATTAGTTTGCATGTAATCTTTGTGTTTTGGGCAGATTATAGAATACCCTGCTGAGGTCATTCTCCAGCTCCAGCTGTCGCCTCTCCGTCTCGCTCCGGACAAACTCCCACCGCTGTGTCAGTTCGCTCAGCCTGGCCTGGAGGGTCTCCGCGCCGTCGCCAAGAGAGGTCAGCAAGATTGCCCGTCCGGCCTCATCCACTGACTCCACTGTGCGGGTGTGAGAGAGGACGTCATTCCGCAGGACCTGCAGGGGGGCGACACACAACAATCACACTGTTACCTAGGGTGGTCTGCATGCAAATACAGTCTGCCTAGGAACGCCCACTCCTCCAGACTGACACCCACCCATCAAGGCATTTTATTAATTGCATAACTCCTCCCAAGAGCCAGCCCACTGCTTGCATCAAGACTACTGGTTCTTGAGAGAGGAATACTGAGGCAGGGTGCTGTGATGTTTTCAGAAAGCTATGTACAGCACCCTGATGGCTCCACCCACCAGCCATGATCTGCCTGCATTGCATAGAAAAGTCCTCCACCCACCCCAACTGTGAGTAGCGGAGGTGACATTGTTAGACTGTAATTATGTCCTTGTATCATATACACTTTGTGGCCAATATGTCACATACAACTCAATGCGTGCAGACATGGTCAAGGCTGCTCTGAAGGCAAATGGGGGCCCTAACTACCTAACAATAGGGAAGGTCTGCGGTGTGCATAGTTCTCTATTGTAGCACATTGAGGTCATTGTTGAATGAGTACGCTCCCAATGCACCCACCTTGTGTTTGGCCAGCTCGATCTCACAGGTTTGCAGGTCGGTACAAGGCTGGCGGGGCCCCTGGAGCTGCTCCTTGGTGTGGGAGAGCCAGTTCAGAAGCTCCTCCAGCTGGTTCTGGAACTGGCCAAGTCCCAGCAGGGCATCTTCTAGCTTGTGCTGTGAGGACAGTGACAAGAATTGTTAATGAAAGATCTCCACCTGAACCTCTGACTGTAACAATGTAGAATTGCCCTATGCTCTTATATTCGGCATGCAATGATGAACAACAAGTCCAAGCAGGCTGTCCTGTGGCTTCTGGTATCTATTATATGTCATTGCCGTTTGTTCAGCTATAAAAGTGCAATGAAGGAACAAAGACCAAACATCATATATCCGGCTTTCTTGGTTAATCGGTTATATATAACATTTGATGAAGATAAATGGCACCTGGCGGTTCACAGCCTCCTCCTCCAGCCGGTCCCAGCGCTCTCTGTAGTCACTCAGCTGCGATCCATCAGACTTGTCCAGGTTCTGGTGCCCGATGCTCTCCAGCTCCACTCGGTGCTGATACAGCTCCCTCTTAAATTCCTGTTCCCGAGACACACCATAGTAAGTTAAATGTTATCATTAGATGGGTGAAAAGCGGTCACTGACTTTGTATCCATGTCGGGCTCTAGAGACCTGCATGGGCCTATTCCTGCCCAAGGACCCACTATGACCCGTAGCTGAGCAAAGGTCCCCAGGGGGGGATTGAGGGTGCAGGTGGTGCACGCTAAGGTGGGGGGGAGGTGGATCATCTCACCAGCTTTAGCTCTGGCCAGCATCCCACCCAGCTCACTGAAGTCACTGGTTGCCTGGAGCTGAGCAGGACTCCCTGGCCAGCGTCCTGCTCATCTCAGGGCAACCAGTGACATCAGTGAGCTGGGTGGGACACCAGCTAGTGCACCCAGGTTGCTAAGAGCAAGGTGGGAAGATGTGTATGGCCCTTACACATCTTCCCGCCTGACTCTTAGCAACCTGGGACGCGCAGGCCCACTGCGAACAGAGCCATGTTGTTCTGCCTGCTGCCCGCCATGTGACCCAAAGAGATGCCGCCTCATTATAGGGACAGCCCTGCAGAAAAGTAATCCTAAAAAGGCCTGGGAGGTGCTGTTGCTATGTGTAAAAAGTCAAAAGATCAATTACAAATCTAAAAATCAGGATGTACTCTGCACATACCTTTAAGTCAGACAGCTGACGCCTCACCATGTCCAAGTCTCCACCCACGAGGAACTCCTCAGATAGGCGAGACTCAGCTACAAGCAGCCAATCCTGCAGCCTCTGTGGAAAGAGAAAAGCACAGTGAAGAAAGTCCTATGTCTTGGGAGAAATATAGAGATTAATGGTCAGTTATGATACATGCAGATGCCACATGTGCCTATATGAGAGAAGGAAATGATGGCTCTACATGAGAAGCTTGGATGGTTATTGGTATTTGTGTCATAATGTGCCCAGCCAATGACATCCTAAGATTGGTATCTCCTCCAAGGGTAATAAATGACATTTATCATCCTCCTATCACCCTGGTATAGGCTACACATAGCTCCATACCTGAACGGTCTCCTGGTATCGTAGTGTAACCTTCAGTTGATCCTCCAGATGTGCGTTGCGCTCACCCCAGAGCTTGCTCAGACCGTTCCAGGCCGCATACAGCTGAAGAGACAAGAGACGTTATCCTGGGTGCGCTTTGTACAGCAGAGTTCCACAAAGTCCAAAAAATAAAATAATGAATATCCTTTTTTTTCATGTTTAATTGAGCGATAACCACTGAAGGCTTCATTGTTGGCGTTATAGTGGACATCTCTACAGACCCATTTACACATCTGCACTGGAAACCTAAAGTGAACCTGTACATGCCAAAGTACACTTTAATGGTGGCCCCTCCAGCAGCACAAATTCATATTGTTTGTCTGCCATTAGGGAAAAAGGGAAAGCCCTGTGTTATCTCCAAGCGGCTACCTGGAGCTCACACAGGGCTAAGAGCTCTCTCCTCCCCCACTCACCACTGGGAGAAAGAGGGGCGAGTCATATGTGGTCCAATTATCATGCACCAGTGGGAGGAAGCTGCATGAATTTCATCTGGCCCAATCACCATGCATTGGTGGCTGGAAGAGGCACGGGTCACGTGTGGCCCAATTACCACACACCAGGGAAGGAATGGGTGTGAGTCACGTGGGGCCCAGTCACCACGTTACAGATGGCCCAACATCCACCACTGTTCGGAGGAAGGTCATGAGTCACATGTGACCCTATTACAACGCACCAGTGGGAGGAAGGGATGTAAGTCATAAGTCATGTACACCCCAATTAATATGGGTGGGCAAAAAGGGGCGTGGCTCACATATTGTCCAACCACCATGCACCAATGGGAGGAAGGGGCGTGAGCCACATGCTCCTCATAACTACAGGTACTGGTCATTTCTTTTACCTCCTGTTGGCCAACTGGAACAATGGGGGAGCAAAGTTAGCGTGAATATGTGCAGCTGGTGTGCATGGATGATGCTCAAGTTTGCTTGAAGGTCACACATATTTTTGGGTCTCAAGCAGGATTTGGATGTAGTAAAAGACAGTCCTGGAAGACACCTCTCACTGAAGCCATGGAAGGGACACCTGATGTCCTGCAATCATCAATTTTGAAGGCCCATTACCAACCACAGGCAGCTATTCACACCTAAGTTTCCAAGTTTCCATTCCTGGAAAGTGTGAATGAGCCCTGCTTGGTGTAGATCTTCTGATGTGTCATAGTACAGACCACTGCTTACAGTATACACATTTTATAAGGCAATGGCAAATTATTCTTCTGCTTATAAAACTCATAAATCTATCATTGCATATCCTACTTGCCTCATCCAGGCTCTTGGTTACATCTGGCTTGTCCATGTCCCCACATGAAGACATCAGGTCCACTCCAAGGGAGCCCAGTACATCCAGCTCATTCTGCAGATTGTCAATGTCTTCCCGGAGAGCCTGGTGGTGGAGGGAGGACAATCATAATTACATATGCACATGGTGAGAGTTTATTTTGTGGAGACCCTACGAGATCAGAATTGCAGGCATGTCACTACAAAGGTGCAGCACTGCCCACACGCTTCCTATGACTGTCTGCCCATCTTCTTCTAAACTGCTAAATTGCTGGGTACAGCTAGGTGGACGAAAGAAATCCCAGGTGAAGCTTTCCAGGAATTCTCTAACTTTTAGATGCATATGAACACAAATCATTCTTTTAAACTTAAAGGTGTGTGCCAGACAATAAAAAAAAATGTTGTATTTCAACTTACAGGGATAGTTTACCTGCCCAGTGGCTCTAATTTTGGACCCCCCCCCCTTCTGCACCTGACTGTACTGATAATTAAAGCCCTCTAATGCGAGCCTGTAAAAACATGGACACCATGTTCTATGGTTCCAGACTCATCCTCTTGCCCACAGCAACTCAAACAAAGTGGAGCAAGAAATTGAGTTTTCCCAATTCAAAGTCATGTGAAAAGAGGATGCTGTCCCGTGGGAAGCCACAATCTATATTGGATTACAGATAAAAATCTTGGACTTTTAGAATATTCCCTCGATATTTTCTAACAATGCCCTTTATATCTTTCCTGAGAAAGAAGTTGTACAGTTGCTCCGAGCTTCTTCTTTACCTGCATAGCATCCAACCGGGTTCTGATAGAGTCAGGGTCAGGGCTGGGTTGTTCTGTATCCAGGACCATCTGCTGGGTGTCTCCGAGATTGACCGCCAGGTCAGAGAGACTGACCCAGAACCTTTCTGCCAACATGAGAAGTCCAGACAGCCAAGAATCGTGCTCCTCTGTGCGGCCACACAGCTGCTTCCAGTCTGCCAATAACGCTTCTGTCCGTTGCTGGAGTCCTGCAAATATGTGGAGGTCTGTTAGAGGAGCCACCAAAGGGGATAAAAGGAGAAAGAACAGCCAGAAGAAATATGTAATACTGGAGAAATGTAAGTCCAGCATCTGTGGAGCTCAAAGGAGCTATGGGTTATGTTTAGGGTGAGGGGTGATGGTGAGAGGTATGGGTTGTGTTTAGGGTTAGGGGTGATGGTGAGAGAGGTATGGGTTGTGTTTAGGGTTAGGGGTGATGGTGAGAGGTATGGGTTGTGTTTTGGGTTAGGGGTGATAGTGAGAGGTATGGGTTGAGTTTATGGTTAGGTGTGTTGATGGGAGGTATGGGTTGTGTTCAGGGTTAGGGGTGATGGTCAGAGGTATGTTAGATAGGTCTGTTAGAGGAGCCACCAAAGGGGATAAAAGGAGAAAGAACAGCCAGAAGAAATATGTAATACTGGAGAAATGTAAGTCCAGCATCTGTGGAGCTCAAAGGAGCTATGGGTTATGTTTAGGGTGAGGGGTGATGGTCAGAGGTATGGGTTGTGTTTTGGGTTAGGTAGGTTGATGGGAGGTATGGGTTGTGCTCAGGGTTAGGGGTGATGGTCAGAGGTATGGGTTGAGTGTAGGGTTAGGTGTGTTGATGGGAGGTATGGGTTGTGTTCAGGGTTAGGGGTGATGGTCAGAGGTATGGGTTGTGTTTTGGGTTAGGGGTGATGGTGAGAGGTATGGGTTGAGTTTAGGGTTAGGTGTGTTGATGGGAGGTATGGGTTGTGTTCAGGGTTAGGGGTGATGGTCAGAGGTATGGGTTGTGTTTTGGGTTAGGGGTGATGGTGAGAGGTATGGGTTGTGTTTAGGGTTAGGTGTGTTGATGAGAGGTATGGGTTGTGTTCAGGGTTAGGGGTGATGGTGAGAGGTATGGGTTGAGTGTAGGGTTAGGTGTGTTGATGGGAGGTATGGGTTGTGTTCAGGGTTAGGGGTGATGGTCAGAGGTATGGGTTGTGTTTAGGGTTAGGGGTGATGGTGAGAGGTATGGGTTGTGTTTAGGGTTAGGTGTGTTGATGGGAGGTATGGGTTGTGTTCAGGGTTAGGGGTGATGGTCAGAGGTATGGGTTGTGTTTTGGGTTAGGGGTGATGGTGAGAGGTATGGGTTGTGTTTAGGGTTAGGTGTGTTGATGGGAGGTATGGGTTGTGTTCAGGGTTAGGGGTGATGGTCAGAGGTATGGGTTGTGTTTTGGGTTAGGGGTGATGGTGAGAGGTATGGGTTGTGTTTAGGGTTAGGTGTGTTGATGGGAGGTATGGGTTGTGTTCAGGGTTAGGGGTGATGGTCAGAGGTATGGGTTGTGTTTTGGGTTAGGGGTGATGGTGAGAGGTATGGGTTGTGTTTAGGGTTAGGTGTGTTGATGGGAGGTATGGGTTGTGTTCAGGGTTAGGGGTGATGGTCAGAGGTATGGGTTGTGTTTTGGGTTAGGGGTGATGGTGAGAGGTATGGGTTGTGTTTAGGGTTAGGTGTGTTGATGGGAGGTATGGGTTGTGTTCAGGGTTAGGGGTGATGGTCAGAGGTATGGGTTGTGTTTTGGGTTAGGGGTGATGGTGAGAGGTATGGGTTGTGTTTAGGGTTAGGTGTGTTGATGGGAGGTATGGGTTGTGTTCAGGGTTAGGGGTGATGGTGAGAGGTATTGGTTGAGTGTAGGGTTAGGTGTGTTGATGGGAGGTATGGGTTGAGTGTAGGGTTAGGTGTGTTGATGGGAGGTATGGGTTGAGTTTAGGGTTAGGTGTGTTGATGGGAAGTATGGGTTGTGTTCAGGGTTAGGGGTGTTACCAAAAAATTACTAGTTTATGGTTAGCATTATGGACATGCTGATGCCACAAATTGCAATCGTAAAACAAAATTAGGAGTTGAGTTGAGAATTAGAGTTAGTGAGTTAAGGATTGGGTCCAGGGTTAGAGGTTGGGAAAAGAGGCTGGATTAAGGGTTAGAGATTAAGAATTGGGGTAAAGCTGGGGTACCTTTAAAGATCTAGGTTAAGGGATAGAAATAGGAGGTAAGCTGAGGGTTAGAATTAGAGGTTAGAAACAGGTGTTGGTTGAGTTTAGGGTTGGGGATTAGGAAGAGGTTCTTGGTAGAGGTTGAGAGGTGAGAGGTTAGGGTTGGAGTAAACTATTTAATATTACAATGTTGGGTATTATTAGTGTCACAGAAGAGCCATAGTTTGTTGGTGGTGAAATGTCATACATTGCGGACCTTTGCTCTAATGTTCAAGCAGCAAAAACAAAAAGATTCCAGCGTGGCCGGGAACAGATGAGCTTTTGGTCATGTCTCATTCAAACAGAAGCCGAAACACTGTGACCGGAGTGACATCTGGAAGACAAATACCCTGTGATTCTTTAGCATCATCTGGAAGGCTGGAAGCCAGCTCACTGCCCTGTCTGCTGATGTTCTCCAGAGCGACTCCCAGTTTCTCCAGCTCAGCTTGAACTTGAGAGTTTTCTTGAAGCTGTTCCCGAATCCGAGAGGGCTCCCCGCGTACAGACGTAGAGCTCTTCGTCCGACTCTTGAGCCGCTCCAAGCTCTCAGACATCATATCTATCCTCTCACTGATCTATAGGTAAGGTACAAGACTTGGCAGGTTACTCTATGGCTACGGGGAACAATGAGAACCACACAGGAGATAGATAAGACATAATAGAACATACTAGACAGTGGCTGTAGAAAGAATGATGTATTTATTGGTGTTGGGAGATTATCACAGATAATGAAAGAAAACTGACCTGGCTATATCGGGGAACGGTATCCTCGAGGACAGCAGCTGCCTGGCGGACGGCCTCCCGGATGGCACAATACCGTTTCTCTGCACATTCAAATCTTTGCTGGAATACAGAACTCTCTTCGGGACACAACTCAGACAGCTTACAGGCGACTCGGTGTAGTTTGGTGACAAGTGGCTTATGTTCAGCAACCACCTCCCGCAGAGCCTGGTACAGTGACCAACAAACACAAGTTAATGGCTCTATATTTAGGATGTATCTGTGTTATATTCAGCAGCTCTGGATGGACAGTTGGATAAATGGCTCTATATATAGGATGTATCTAATCTATAAACCAATGGCTTTGGATGGACAGTTGGATAAATGGCTCTATATTTGGCATGTATCTGGTCTATAAACCGGCGGCTCTGGATGGACAGTTGGATAAATGGCTCTATATATAGGATGTATCTGGTCTATAAACCGGCGGCTCTGGATGAACAGTTGGATAAATGGCTCTATATATAGGATTTATTTGGTCTATAAACCGGCGGCTCTGGATGGACAGTTGGATAAATGGCTCTATATATAGGATGTATCTGGTCTATAAACCGGCGGCTCTGGATGGACAGTTGGATAAATGGCTCTATATATAGGATGTATCTGGTCTATAAACCGGCGGCTCTGGATGGACAGTTGGATAAATGGCTCTATATATAGGATGTATCTGGTCTATAAACCGGCTGCTCTGGATGGACAGTTGGATAAATGGCTATATATATATAGGATGTATCTGGTCTATAAACCGGCGGCTCTGGATGGACAGTTGGATAAATGGCTTTTGATATAGGATGTATCTAATCTATAAACCGGCGGCTCTGGATGAACAGTTGGATAAAAGGCTCTATATATAGGATGTATCTGGTCTATAAACCGGCGGCTCTGGATGGACGGTTGGATAAAAGGCTCTATATTTAGGATGTATCTGGTCTATAAACCGGCGGCTCTGGATGGACGGTTGGATAAAAGGCTCTATATTTAGGATGTATCTGGTCTGTAAACCAGCAGCTCTGGATAGTTGGCTAAATAGTTCTATATTTAAGAACAATATCATCTATAAACCGGTGGCTGTGGATGGACAGTTGGCTAAATGACTCGAATTTGTAGTCTGTAACAGATTGTATATTGTATGGATTATCCTCCCAGTAAGGGGCATGTTGTATATTGTATGGGTTATTATCCCAAGAAGGGGCAGATTGTACATTGTACAGGTTCTCCTCCCAGGAAGAGCAGATTGTATACTGTACAGGATATGATCCCAGGAAAGGGAAGACTGTATATTTTACGGGTTATCCTCCCAGAAAGGGAAAGCTTGTATATTGCTCACATGTACACCATCCTATACAGATTATCATGCGCCTCCTACTCACCTGCAGTCTCTCTTGTTGTTCCCTGAAATCTCCGGAGAGGCCACAGTTAGGAGATCTTTGCGGTAAGTCGAACTCTGCCTCCTCTATCCAGGGCAGCAGCTCCTCCTCAGCTTCTGAAAACTGGGCAAGCATGGTGAGGGTGTGCTCCAGAGCAGGGGGCGAGGAGGTCACCTGGGCCGCTATACGTGGACACTTCTCCTTCAGGGACTCCAGAGACGCCTGGGGGGGACATATCCAAGCTTAGCTTCATTGAGTTCTGTACTCATCCAAAGCAATCACATAACATCATTTTAGAAAATGTCCTCTTATGAAAAACACTTATGGCCCCATTACAGATGAGTTAACATGCATTTTTTTGATCATTGCCACATGTTGATTCACTGTGAATGGGTTCTTCATTAACCACAAAGCGCAATACAGCACACCTGCATTATTTTTCCCAATGCTACGCAACAGACAGAGGGTTCCTATATGTGCGTTGTGCTGTGCTGAAGGATAATATGGCTTGTTTACACTGTATATGCATGTTGGGGTGCCATTCCCTCTACCTTCATCAGCGTGTCAGTTCCTGCACTGCATGTGAGCTGCCCTCCAACCTTCTTCAGTGTCATTTCAGCATTTTCTCATTTTATATGAATATTTTGCTTTTGTATGATAATGGGGTTCTACTTGAGGGAGAAAAATAAGAACTCCGTCATCAAGGGGGCAGCTCTGACACCAGGAAGCAAAGCCCTGCTTCTACTGAGATCAATTGCAGGAACATCACAGGCAATACTGGTGACTAGTCCTTTGTCCTCTGCTTGGGTACAGTTTCAAAAGCACAGGTCCTCTTTAAGCTTTGTCTCCTTTGCAGTAGTCTTGCCCTCTATGGTATATGGCTGCCTGCGGTTACCTTGTGGCACAGACAGGCTCTGCACTCAGCAATGTTCTAAAGTAATGAATGGCGACGAAGCTATTTCTACTTCCTCCTATCCTCCTTCAGGACAAGGGTTGACCCTCAACATGGTCCTTCCAAAGTACACTAAAACCATATGATAGTGGGAAGGATAAGATGGAATGAACGTGTAAAGACAAGAAGAATTTGGATACTTGCACCCTCCTCACCTGCAACCGATCCTGGGTGGCCTGTGGGCACAAGGTCAGCAGAATGTCAGAGATACCCAGCAGCCTTTCGGTGATGCCGCAGTGTTGTAGAACGTCCACGGCCATCAGCTATCCAAGAGAAAAAGCCAAAGCTCTAGTCCACACATAGGAGATGAGACATCCACTTACTGTGGGGGTGGTAATGATGATGACCCCCTATAACCTGTCATGTCTTCCCCGTGGACTCATCCCAGGCCTGCCCACCCTCATCACCTTATGATCCCTCATCTGCGCCTTTAAGGCCTCCACATCCAGTGTGACTCGACTCAGCTTCTCCAGATGTCGCTCAGCGTCACGAAGATGAGACAACTCAGTCAGAACAACCTGGTCCAGCTGAAATCAAAATGGAGAAAGTCAGGATAGTCATAGCAGGAATGTGAACCCCCTTACTGTTTATTGGTCACCCACCTTTTCTGTGTCACTGGCACTTAGCATGCTGCGTTCCCCACCGCCTTCCCCGCTCACAGAAGATGCCAGCTTCTCCATCCGGCCCAGCCACAGGGAAATGTCTTCCTGAGAGGGGTCTAGGTGTTCTGTGGCTTGTAAAGTTTGTTCTGTTCTCTGGAGCATGTCACCAGCGCTCTGAGCTACAATAATATACCGGACCCGCAGAGCGTCCATCTTTTCTTGGCAAAGCTGAGATTCCTCTCCTAAAAGATGTTAGACACAAGACATGAGATTCCACCACACAATGATATCACACACCGTGCAACCAAGAACAACCGGAAAGCTCCTAATTGTTATGCCACACCCCTCTAACAAAGAGCACCTCCTAACATAGAGAATTCTGCTAACACAAAGCACCCAACTGACACAAAGCACCCCAATAACACAAAGCACCCTGGTAATAAACTGGGCAACCCCTTACACAGGTCATACTGCTAAGCACCCAAAAACAAAACAAAATTATGGTCACAGATAGTCTAGAACGCCCTTATCACCCCAGAGGAACCTTGGAATAATTTCCAGGTCTCAGGCAACCCCTGCTATAATTATTCCATCTACTCAATTAACATGAAACAAATCATAATGACCAGAAAGGAAAAGTCGACCATAAAAATTGTCATCTCCTCCTAGGTTGGTTGTCATTGAAGAAAGGTCCCCCTATTGGTGGTCAGTAGAGGAGATCCCTCTTTTCATTGCTAGTCAGTGGAAAAGATTTCCCGGCAATGGTCAGTGAAACTTAGTGGTCAGTGGAGAAAACCCTAGCCCTGTGCAAAGTGCCCCCCCTGTATTGATGGCCAGTGGTGAAGGATACCCTTATATTGATGGTCAGCAGCGAAAGGCCCCCTTATATTGATGATCAGCAGCAAAGGGACCCCTTAAATTAATGGCCAGTGGTGAAAGACACCCTTATATTGATGGTCAGTGGTGAAGGACACCCTTATATTGATGGTCAGCAATGAAGGGTCCCCTCAAATTGATGGCCAGTGGTGAAAGACACCCTTATATTGATGGCCAGTGGTGAAGGATACCTTTACATTGATGGCCAGTGGTGAAGGATACCTTTATATTGATGGCCAGTGGTGAAGGATACCTTTATATTGATGGTCAGCAGCGAAAGGCCCCCTTTATTTTGATGGCCAGTGGTGAAGGGCCCCTTATATTGATAGCCAGTGGTGAAGGGCCCCTTATATTGAAGGTCAGTGGTGAAGGGCCCCTTATATTGAAGGTCAGTGGTGAAGGGCCCCTTATATTGAAGGTCAGTGGTGAAGGGCCCCTTATATTGAAGGCCAGTGGTGAAGGATACCTTTATATTGATGGCCAGTGGTGAAGGGCCCCTTATATTGAAGGTCAGTGGTGAAGGGCCCCTTATATTGAAGGTCAGTGGTGAAGGGCACCCTTTACATTACTGATCAGCAGCAAAGAACCCCCATACATATTTCTGGTCAGTGGGACAAGGACCCTCATATTGGTGGGCAGCTGGAAGAAGAATGCCCCTTACATTAGTGGTTACGGTAGTTATGGAATCCTCTGCAGTAAACCTGTCTGAGAAAGGCTGTTCTAGGCCATTGCTCACAATTTCTGCTCTCACTAAACTTTATTTGGTATGAATTTAGGAGCGATCTGCAGAACGTTTAAAAACATTTGTGACGTTAACCTTTGGCAGGGGAATCCTTTTCTCCATTTCTTTCACGAGAACCTGTCACCAGGTGATGCAAACCAAACTACTCCTGCAGAGAGTCATCCGGCTCATGGTGGCTCAGTATCTGTACCACACCCCGACCACCAACCAGATCCGGAGAAAGAACTTTCCGCCATTCTGTCTACCTTCAAGTCAATGTTTCCCTTCATTGGGACATCACCACTTCCCAAGTTGAACCTTTATAACCTGGGGACAGCGAGTGACCCTAATATTACTGTTTTCTATACAGTTCTGTTCTTCCTAATTCATAGATTGTTAGCTCTGCAGTCCAGTATCACTGGAATCCCCTCACCTTCTCCAGTCAGTGTCTTTTTCTGCTCTAGTGTCACTGACGATTGCAGGATGAGCCTGGCTGTCTTACCTTGACCTCTTCCTGAATGTATCTTCTGCCCAGCACAGCCGGTGGGGCTCAGCAGGTGAACGGTGACCCCCCGGTAGTATAGGAACTCATTAGTAACACAACCAGCAAATCACATTCCTCCCCTACCATTCTCACTGATCTACGTCTCCGCCCAGTCAGTCCATTTACCTGACAGCAGTTCCAGGATCACCTGACCCTTCTCTAGAACCATGTCCAGATCTCCCGGCTTACTCTGGATCTCCACACACAGATCCTGGAAGGAGGAAACAGTCAGTAAATATGGCGGTTATTTTTCATGAAGGAAATTTTAATATACACTATATTGCCATAGGACGCCTTCCCAGAAGAGGCGGAGCTGTTATAGCGGCAAAGGGCGGAGCCAACCCTATACTGAACCCCACGGACTAAGACTGGGATGCCATTAAAGTTCATGTGCGTTTAAACGCACTTTTGGTGATATAGTGTATATCAGTTACAGTATGTCTGAGGTTAATGGTTGGTCTCTTAAAGTGTATGTATACTACATTTTTTTACATTTTAGATAGGAAAGGT